CTCTCCTTCCTGACGAGGTCACAGTGTCAGCGAGGTTTCCAGGACACCTTGGCGTGGCCAGGGCTCACTTGTTCCTAGGGAGCAGAGCCCAGCCAAGGTGACTGAAGTGAGTGGGGGCTGAGGCACATCGTGGAACCCAAGGGAGCCCCCAGGCCCCAGGGCCACCTGCGGCTCGCCTGTCCATCTCAGCTGTCCATCTCAGCCCCTTGGGCTGCCCCGCTGCCCTGTGTCCCTGATGTGCTTTGGAGATCAGCTCCCTCTTGGCTATCAGGGTCCCCAGATTGCTGCCACCAAAATAGCAGCTTTTGTTCCCAAACCTTATAGGTCTCCAGGCCCAGCCGTCTAATCTGGTCTCTCCATATTCAGGACAAGATCGACTGTCACGACCCCGGAGCACAGTGACGGAGCCCTCTGTGTCTGGCCACTGCTCTGAAGTCTTTCTGGGAGTTTCCTCATTTAATTCTCAAAAGGTCTCTACAAGGAAAGTTTTCTTACTGTCTTTGCTTGTGAGGAAATGTAGAGGCTCAGACTGGGAAGCTTGGCTAGGATCACATGGCTCCTTAGCAGGGAAGCTGGGATTTGAACCCAGGGCCTGAGCCCTGAAACGTTTTGGTCTGGCTCAGCTTCTGGCTTGGATCCCTTGGAACCAAAGTGTCCCTTTCCAGCCCAATCTGCAGTGGCCATGAGGACGGCAGGTGAGGTGTCACTTACGGCTCCAGGGCTGTGGAAGGAGGAGGGAACAGGCTCTTCCCTAGCGCTGGGGCAGGGACGCCGGCCCGATGTATCTGGTTCCTGGCACACAGTAGGTGCTCAGCAAATGTTTATTGAGAAAATGAACTTCAAGCAGCTTGGACTTGTCTGTGCCACATGAGAGGAGGGGGAGGTGGATGTGGCCTTATTTGGGCCACGTGTGACCACCCATCTCACCTTTCCAAAATAGGATACCTCTTACTGTTGGCCTTAGAGGGAAAAACACCCCGTCCTGGTCATCTTCTAGACAGCGGGCCCGCCGCCGGGTTAACCCGAGCACCCATGTGGAGGTCTACTGGAGGTCACCCCCTGGGCAATGGCTGGCCATCAAAAAGGGCAGGCTCTGCGCTCTGCGGAGGACACCGGAGTCTGGTCCATCAGCCACGCCTGTGTTTTCATGGAAGTCTGCGGGGGCCTGAGGAGCCCACCCGTGGCCTGAGCACAAGTCCTCTTTCCCCAAGGCCTCTCCAGGGATGGACGAAGCACAGCACGGGGTGGGGTAGGGGTTCAATCAAGTTTTGCCAACAGGACTGCAGTCCCCCATGTGTGCCGTCCCCAGCGCCAGCCTCCAGCTCCCCGGGCTCCTTCTGAGGGCTTAGCGGGGCTTCCTGGGGGAGACGGCGAGACCCTCCCTGGGCTTGCTCCCCGCCCGCCCTGGTGAGGCCATGGCACCTCCAGGTCTCTTCTGAGCCCCTGGGTGGTCTCCGGGTGCAGGTGCTCTTCCTTTCACATCGTGGTTTAGAATGCAGCGACACTCCCCTGCCCAAGCTCTAGGCAGAAGGTCCAGCTTGGAAAGGGCGGCGGCAGATGGTGGCAGACCGTGACAGGCCATGGAAGGCCACGGCAGGCCACGGCAGACCACGGAACCTGTGGCAGCCTACGGAGACCGAGTCAGCTAGTCTCATCTCATCTGGAGAAGCCGGAGGTCACATCCCTCAGATTAGGACAGAAGTGAATGGACATCAGACAGCATCCTGTCCCCAAATGGATCTCCTTGGTGGCAGGGGGTGGTTTGTGCTTGCTCAGGACCTATTGTTCTCAAAAGTCCCTGACATGTGGTATGATCTTCTAGAACTTTCTGGGCCAGGTTTCTGGGCTTGACCTTTGTTTTTAATGCAGGTCGTTTATTACTATAAAGAATTAAACCGATGATGGTCTTTGGATGAGTTTGTCCTTGACCATTGGCACCAAGAAGAAACGAGGGGGGTGTGAGGCTCCCGTCCCTGCCCTCCCCTTGGCCAGCCGCTGTCTGCCTTGAGTCTGGCCTGGGTTTCTCCAGAGCCCCCTCCCTGGGCCACCACTCGTGACCTTTAGCTTCCCGTGGGCGACCACTGAGCAGCAGGAAAAGGAGGAGGCAGGATCAGGACGCGGGTTCCCTGACTCCCAGAAAACTCGGGCCCAGGGGGTCCTCCCTGCCCTCCCCCCACCGGCCACAGCACCCTCTCTGCAAACAGGGCTGCAGGACCCACCCTCAGGCGCCCTGAGGTCCTGCACCAGCCCCTCTGAGTCCTGCGCCCCAGGGCCGCTTCCCCTCCCCACCCAGGAAGTCTCCGCCAGCTGTTGGCTCCCTGGGGTGTTTGTGGTGGGACTTGGGATGCAGAGGACTCTGGGATGTGGAGGAGATAGACTGGGGGAAGGGTGGACACCCACTAAGTGTTCCCTTGGGGGCCTGGGAAACACGAGGAATGGAGTCCCTCCTCCAGGGAACTCGCCTCCAGGGGAGGCTGTGGGCTGCCCCTTTTCAGGGGGTTCAAATATCTTGGGGTCTGACTGTGCCTGGCACCCTAATATGGGGCTGGGGAGTCGGAGGATGTCCCTGCTTCCACAAGCAGCTGGTGGGTGCTGGGCAGGCAGCGCTGTGCAGGGTGAGGGGAGGCCAAGGAGGCACCAGGAGGGCTTCCTGGAGGAGGAAGGCTTCACCTGGACCCACCCACAATTATTAACCTCCACCGGGTTCTTCTCACAGAGGGCAACTAGATGCCCAGTGAGGGTTTCTGGACCCTCTGACTCTTCCCAGTCCCACAGTGACATCAACAAATGTCACCTGCCACCCACCTCATACTAACTTCCTGCAGGAGCTCTGAGGCAAACAGTGCTGCTCTCTGTCTGACCGCCCTCCCCCAGCCTCACACATCCCCACTTGTCAAGCAGGTGTAAGGGAAGCGGGTGGCACGCGCTAAGTGCTGGGGGGTGCTGCCTCCCTTTTCTGTGGCTCCCTATTCCGTTCTTTCTTATATAACACAGATACAGGGTATAGGAGAAGGAGCATGGGTCAGGAGCTTCCTGGTAAGCTGTGTGACGTAGGAAAGTCACACGACTTCTCTGAGCCTCAGATCTATGAAATGGGGATGACGAAACCATCCATAGCACTTTCATGTGGACAAAATGGGACATGAAAATGGTCCCTCTTTATCTGCAGGAACATCTTCCAAGATGAGTAGATCCCTGAAACTGAAGATAGCACCAAACCTACAAATACTACTTATTTCCTATACAAGTATATCAATGATAAAGCTTCATTTACAAGTCAGGCACAACAAGATATTAAAAACAATAATTAATAACACAACAATCATAGCAGTATACTGTGCTAAAAGTTATCTAAAACTTGTGTGACTATTTCTAGAATTTTCCTTTCATGTTTCCTGTTTGCAGTTGGCGGGGGAAGGGAAGCGGCAGCCTGCAGACCCAGGTGCGCGCTGCACAGCCCTCCAGGGCTCTGCCCATTCCCGCGTCCGAACCCGCAGGCTCTGGCCGGTGCCCCTGACTCTCCCCGGGGAGAGGGCAGCTGCGCCCTCACCATTGGGAGCCCTGTCCCCCCACCTGCCGTCCCTGGTCCCAGCCGTCCTCTGGCTGCAGGCTGGCCAGCCAAGGCTGTCTCCCCCACTGGCCTGCAGCCGCCACCTGCAGCCCACCCTCGGTGGCCCTTGGACCTCAGCCGGGCCCCTGCTCTTCCAGGCCCTCCAGCCCCTGTGCCAGGCGTCACCTCAGACAGCAGTCCTTCGATCCAGGTCCCCGTCCCCGTGATGGGGCCCTGCCCTGCCCTGGCCACAGACCACCAGGCAGAGTCCTGTAGCTGCAGGGACAGGGACCCGCACACCCTGACGCCCTGCTTCCTCCAGCCTCAGGCGGAGCCCTCTGGCCCCCGTTTCTGGCCCCATCTGGAGTCTTGGTGCTGTTTTGTTTGTCTGTCCTTGGATACAGAGCGGAACAGTGGCTGCGCTTTCCTGAGCCCTGGCCCTGGGTCTGCCACCTGGGACCCCAGCAGGAAGCCTCTGTGGAAGGGAAGGCTGCAGACAATGGCCCCTGCGTGACAGTGACCTCCTTTCGTGGCAGGCTGATGCTGGCTCTCTCCCTTGGGCACCAAGGTCTGGCGGGTTTGAGGAACACCTGTGGGGCCGTGACCTGGGGCCCCTCTCTGGCCCTGGAGGGGACATTTGCTCTGCCACGTGGAGCCCCCTGCCCTTTAAGAGTCTGGGCACAACACTCAAGTGCCCCAATGTGTGCCCAGGTCACGTGGTTGGTGACAGGGCCCCCGAAGGACAGAAGCCAGGGCCTGTGGTGTCAGCAGCAGATGCAGGACGGCTTTGAGAGAATCACAGCCACAGTGCACCAGCCTGTAGCACCTTCTGAAGCTCAGAGACACAGGGAGACTGCTCGGAGCCACACAGCAGACTGTGCTGCGTCTGGATAGCTCCTTCTGTCTCCTGTGCCCTGCAGCACCCAGGGCTGCCCGAGGCACCAGGCACATCCCACCATGCCCTGGAGGTAGCTGGGGTTGGCAACCAGAGTCCTGGGGTGCCCGCATCGTAGGAGTGAGGCTGGACAGTCTCCTTGGGGAGATGGGTAGGAAGGGCCAGTGTGGCCCACAATTCACTGGACGCACAGAGCCCAGCCACAGAGAGAGCAGAGGGGAGGAAGGAAGGGAGAAAAGACAGAAAGCCCGTGCTTTGGAGCCCAGCTGGGTCTCCTTGCTGTGTGTCCCTGAGCTTGTTCCCACACACTCTGTGCTTTTCCTCAAGTCTGCACTGCAGGGAGGCCACGGAGTGGAGCAGCACAGCGTGGGGATGTGCCCTATGGGGTCCTGCCACCCTCCTCCCTCCCTTGGCCTTTCTTCCCTCCTGCACCCCCTCCACTCCCTTCTGAGAAGCTTCAAGAGTCTCTGTTCCCCAGGGTGATCTCAGGCTCCCAGCAGAGAGCCAATCCCCAGTCCACCCTGGAGAGTTTGGGGGGAGTGGGGACACCCTGGAGGCTGCGTCAGGTGCTGTGTGCAGCTCCAGAGGCCACCTTCCAGCAGGGCCAGAAAAAGCAGGGCTCCCAATCCCCCACACTAAACCTAGCGACAGTCGGGTTCCTATGGCAACCTGCGATTTATTTTTAGTCGTACTTTAACATTAACATGATGTGAGGGTCTGAGCGCACATTACTCTCTTTTTACAGAACCGGAAAAAAAAAAAAAGAAAAAGAAAAAAGAAAGAAGGTCTCTTTGTGAGGCAGTGTCACCCCCTGGGGCAGGGAGAGGTGACCGGACGCTAAGGAGTGTGCAGCGACCTGATCTTGAGGAAGGTCAGCATCCCTGCTCCTGCAG